CACTCGACGAGATGTACACGCCTTATTGGTGTGCAATACCTGCAGGCTTTAACCTCTCGTACTGATAAAATCACATGGCTGTAGGATGCACCCATCCAAGCCTTCCGGCGCTGTATTCCATTTTTGCCCTGGGCCAAAAATACACGCACGCGATTCACGGCATAATTTTTACCCACACACTCGATGAGATGTACACGCATTATTGGTGTGCAATACCTGCAGGCTTTAACCTCTCGTACTGATAAAATCACATGGCCGTAGGATGCGCCCATTCCAGCCTTCCGGCGCTGTATTCCATTGAGAAATCTTTCGTTACAAATCTTCCACAAGTGGGTAGCGACTTGTCTTATTAATCTTGTTGTAATAAATAATCCGCGCCCGAGGCAAACACCGTGCCTTGGCCTCGGGCAGGTCATAGAAGGGGATCCCGAAACAATACCCCCTCCCCTCAATTGGATATATCACGATAACGTTGACTTTAGGTAGGGCGTTTCTTCTTTGAAGGTGTGTTGGTATAACACTAAAATGGCTTCCCACTGTTTCTAGTGGCACTCTAAGGGTTTTTAAGGCGGGTACAAATGGTTACCTAATTACGAATTTCGTATGTGTACCAGTATGTATTTTTTATGTAACTGTGTGAAGTGGCCACACACTCGGTGGTGACACTGAAATGGCTTTCCACTGGCCTTGTGGCAATGAGATTGCTTCCGAGGCGGGAGAAAAACACTGAAATGGTTTCCGGATTACTGAGTGTTTTATGTGTTGTACGTGTACAGTATTTAGATTTATGTGGCTGTATAAAGTGACCACTTTGAGGTTAGCACTAAAACGTCTTCCCACTAACCCTTTGGCAATGAAGTGTCTTCCAAGGCGGGAGGAAAGCATTGAAATGACTTTCGGCCCATCACATGCATATAAAAATATTTTGTATACAAATTATGGTTTTCTACTTTTTCGAAACACATAAAAGGACGCATCTTGAGTTACAACAGAACTAATTATAGGAAAATAATCGCCATTTAACATTTCGACTTACCTGGCATTCTTTGTRACAACTTAAAACTCAGGAAAGCACTTATCTTTCTTCTTGTTCAGGCTTCACCTAAAATAAAACCGAGAATCCTGAGAAAATTAATTATATTTTTCGCGTTTCGTAATTAAAACAGATGTTGGATGTCAAATCCTATTCATCCTACTACGTGCCTTTTTTTTTTAATTCATTGAAGTCAGAATATGAACAGCGACTTCATGAACGAAATTAGTTCTATTTTCATTATTACAAAAGGCAGCGTCTTTAGAAAAATTCATTAAAAATTTTCGAATAATTGTGTAATACTCAATTTAAAGAAACTAGATTTATTCTACTAAATTTGGATGTAATTATCCTGGCGTTGGGCTTTGGAAAAAAATTTTTTTCGGTATTGAATTTCGAATGAAATACAGATCTCAAAGCATTCCTCTTTTCTTTGTTTTGATAAAGATTTTTTTTCAACTGCAGAGGCGTGGCAGGCGAGCTCTAAACAGGTTTATGAAAATAAAAAAYTCATATTAAAAGACTGTAAGCGAAGATAAAAAGCTGTAACAATTTCAAACAAAAACCAAGATTCAACATGTGCTTAAAATTCGTAAAGAACGAACAAACTTTGGATTTTAGAATTTGTTACCAATTTTCAAAATAAGAAATGGGAAACTCTGGTGAAGTTAAATCATTAATATGAACTTTAATTCTGCGTGAAAGCGCTGCGTGAAAATGTTGCGTGATTTACCTTCGTTCTACATTTATTACAATGAAAACCATTTGACAACCACACGTTTCCAAGCAATGTTCCGCGTGCCACTGTGGCAGTCAATTGGCTTCCAAATTTGATTGGATGGCGTTCGTTTTTGCGTGTTGTAATTGGTTCAAACCGAAAGTCATTTAAGAGCCGCCTGTTTTCCAATCAAACATTCACCTAAATTTGAACATAACATAGAAGCAAAATATAACAATTTGTCCCTTCTCTGTAGAAATGGTTTCGGATTAAAATTTAACAGTCAGTAATTCTGATAAACAAAAACAAACTTACTTGTCCATAAAGTAAAAAATAATTCTTCATTGCGATACCTCATAATTAGGCCTCGCCTTACTTATTATGTCAGTCTAAACAAAGTACCTTTGGTTTACTTAACTTTACTTTAGGTTTTGTACGTGTGTTTTCTTAGCTACTGAAAAAACTAAGAATTATTCGAAAAAAATACGACAAATAAAAGTGTATATGTCTTAGAAAAAAATTGCATTTTCAACACCAGAAAATTATACATTTCTCGTCGCGAATTTTAGTGAATATTTCTCAACTACGTAATRCCTAAATAACAATCGATCGTGTGGTATGGATGAAAAGTTGAAAACCTCAACATCAGTGGAATAGTTTCTAAGCAGCTTACAGTATATTATTTTGCGGTATAATATTTTTATTGTACTGAATAGTATTAGTTATTGTTAAGAGCAAGAATTTTTTAAACTCCTCCTGATAGGAAGATAAGACATGATAAACTTTTCTTTCGAAGTTTTTTAGAAAGATCTAGGAATTTTTTTTGGAATTCATAGTATTTGATTTTGAAAACAAATAAAATTTACTAAGAATGGAATGCAGCTTAGTAAGTTTGGTAAAATGAAATATAAAGAATGGCTACGACTTTTTAAAAGATAATTGAAACAGTTTGTACAGTTTTAAGTACGTAAATTCTACACTTTAAGATCAAAAAAAAAAAAGATCAAGAATTTTTTAAAGAGTTACGTTCTTAAAAAGTTATTTTAACTTTAAACAATTTATCAAGTTATATCCTTGTCGAGAAAGACAAGTCGACATATGATTCTCATGTAGAATATTAGTCTTGACTGTTGGAGGATGAAAATTACACTGATAAAAAGTTCGAACTCTTGTGAAAATTCAATTCAGTTCAAACTCTCAGTTCAGTGTTAGAAATAGAATAAAAACGTCTTAGATTCCAGAATCCTATGTCACTGCTAACGCCTCCTCTTACCTCTGTCCTGCTAATGGCCAGACATCAGTTAAACATCTTTGAAATTTTCGTTAGTATATAAAAGTTAGATGTTACAAAACCGTCCTCATTCTTTACATAGTCTTTCAGTGTGATGTTTTCGACTGTGATTCACTAAAGTCTTTAAATGTGTGATGTTTTCGACTGTGATTCACTAAAAGTCTTTGTAATTGCGCATGTGTGGGGGGAGGGGGAAGGATCGAGATAAATTTTTTTTAAATAATTTCTAATTAAGTAATATTTCGAAAAAGCTGTCATTATTTGAATAAAAATCCAAAATTCAATGCAAAGGAAAAATATGGTTCGTTTGGTTAGCCTATTTTTGGTTCAGTCTCAATTGACCAAAGTCTCGTTCGCTTTATACTATTGGCCAACGAAATATTCGCCCCTTTATTTTACTCATTTTAAGAGAATATAGATAAATGGAAACAACATGTTTCCTAAGGGAGGGATAGGTAGGGCAGAACAGAGCTGACCTGCTGTTTTCAAGCACAAATACCACTCCATGAGCACGAATTTTGTGTCGAGAAATACAGAGTTAGTTAAAGAAATTTTGACGTATCTTTCTTTGTCCCCCAAATTAAAATCGAATAAATTTTTAATGTGTTTTTTTTAGGCAACTGTAAACATAATTTGTTATTCATCAAGTTCATAGCTACAGCGACTTTAGCTTCAAGATCTCAAATCTGGAAATGAAAATTATATTTAAAAACTTTGATTCGAATCCGAAAAGAGTCGAAAAGTTACGCGAACTGATAACGGTGGCGCTGCAGTGGCTTCCCGCCTCGGGGCCAATCAGAACTTACGCGAAGACCCACGCGAATCATGTGTAGCACGCTAATCATTAGTGAGAAATTTGACTTTAAAATAATTTAAAAACCAAAAAACAAAACTTATTATTTGAGAATGACTCGGAAAGACTATGAATAAAGCTGATGTCGGCATCTTTTCATTTGCACACTCTACCGCTGTGCTAAATGGTAAATAATACCAAATGAAACGCATTACGCAGTTAGGGTCGCCCTCTAATTTAAACTTAACTAGTGAATAAGAAGGAAACTTAAATACTGTGTTTAAAAAGTTTGGAACTGTACTGACTTTCTGGACGCTTGGAAGAGTCCTTTTATTCTGGACGATGGAGTAACTCTGATGCTTCAAGTGCGGTTCCAAACGTCTTTACACAATGTTTAAGTTTCCATCTTATTCACTTGTTGTATTCAACACACCAACGCAATCCCAACTAGCTACCGTTACTCATTATTAATTTAGCTTTATTTAAAGCGTCACTTGAATCACCAGATTTGTCGTGCTTATTATTGATAGACGAATCATTCTTATTACCTCGTAGTGATTTTGTACGGCGTCGCAGAATATTTTCATCTTAGACGCGAAAACGCCCGAAGACATCCAAATCAGGACCCAAGCAAAGATACCGTATAATTCGTTAAGTTGTGGATTGAGTTATATAACCTGAAGAGAAATAAAAAATTTTGGTTTTGCCAAAGAGAATTATCCTTGGAGAATAACTAATAATGATGTAGAAAAGGCGGCTTTTTTGTTTTAGTTTTTTCCGCTAAGGATATTACTCTGTTATTACAAAGTACGTAAATTATTTTCAAACTTCTCAGTTCTGTTAGGTTTCTGTTTTTCATTTTTGAACTTAGTTTTATCATGAGTTTTTTCGGCTTTACTCAGAGGAAGCCACCTGACAAAAACATAATTTTCCCCTTTTTGAAATATTTTTTTCTGGAATCAGCCATTATCAGTTTCAAACGTTTCATCTTCTTAATTCCATGAATCCCCCACTCAATATCCTACATCCGCCCATGTTTTTTTTTAAACGGTAGCCCGTCAATAAAGCAAAGCAAATTAATTCCATTCCGAAGTTCCACATTTTTATAAACCAGTCTAATTTTTTTTAAGTATGACGTTTTCATATATAGCTCAGCCCAGTCTTTCTCGTCTGTTTATGTCATACGTTGGTCATGAGATCTGACGAGACTACAATATTTATCCCTGAAAAAATCCTTTCTTTTGTATTTCCCAGCTAAAATTCCTCGTTAAATTTAACCCTAGACATGGYTGACAGATTAAGGCACAAGTCTAAGATCTACGAAAGGCTAAATAACCCTGAACTTCGCTGTAAAACTGGGTAAGTTGAACGAAATGTAAAGCTTTTCAAATGAAATATTAAGATATGTTTGAACCTCAAAATTAATGAAAATTAAAAACATTACTTTCCATTTCGAAGTAAATATAAATATTGAAGAAGCATTATTTTAAGTCCGTTTTATCGAGATAACTAAATAAACGTTTGAAAACGGAGAAAAATGATTGATTACGAAACTTAGTAAGGACTGCCACAGGCAACCCAACCTAGTTAACAAAGTGTGCTGGAAATTTATTTATAATTTTTTTTTTTAATATGTTGTATTATATTAATAAAGGTTAAATTCTCTTGCCCTGGTGTAACCATGCTCAAGAGTGTTTAGTAGTCAGAAAATTATACTATTTGCATTGTAAACTGTACAATCATAATATTATATTTCCAAGAAATCCCTTCAATTATTTTTWAAAAGTATTTTAGATAGTTGATCAGTGCCTGACAATGCTTGAACAATGTCCTCAAGTTATCTTGATCATGCCACAGCACATATATCTTGCTACTCGATATTATATTCGACTTTTATACACACCCCTGCCTTATTRGTCAAGGATTAACACACAAAAAAATAATGTAACAAGTTTTTGCAGAGGATTTTCATATGACTAAGCCTGTTTATTTCCATATTATTTATTTTCCATACTATTTATATATGCAATAGGTGTGGATTCTATGGTAACCCTGCATGGCAAGGCTATTGTTCAGTTTGTTTTCGAGAAGTTTACAAAAAGCAACACCAAACCAGAGATGTGCAGCTACGAGGAAGTCAACTCTTGACAGAACAAGGTAATGGCTGATTGATGTTGGTGATTTATAAAAGTATTACAAAGATAAATCTACAATAGCAATCCTAATCAGGAGGGAATATAGGGTGACGTCACAGTAGAGCACACTTACCCTCACTTCTTGGTTCCTGCAATTCACATGGTAACATAACTTGTTGGTCTTATATCACAGGAAAAAAAAATGGATTCCCTAATTGGGAATTTGTTGGGAATTTCCTTGAATTACCAACGAATCCCCATCCAATTCCCAGAGAGAATGAAATTGGGAACGTGGCACTGATTTCCAATGTTAGTTTGTTGGGAATTTTGTTTTTCTATTGGGTATTAGAAGGAAATTCCCAACAATAAATCCCAACGTTGGTGTTCGAATTGGGAATTCAAGGAAATTCCCAACAATCCCCAATTTGGGAATCCGTTTTTTTCCTGTGATAATGCCAACATGCCCAGGAATCAAATCAATGGTGGCATTAAGTGCAGTACCATTGCCTCTTACCTCTTGGGTATTGGTTTTTGATACCTGGTCTCAGCATATCATATGCAGAGGTTTCAATAGAAGGTGGCTTCCTACAATTAATATTATTGCCAGGTGCCTCATCTCTCCCTGCCAGCTATTTCAAGATCAACAAAGTCAATAAAATAATAATAATGGAAGTAACACAGCTGTCTTTTTTGGAAAAAATAACTGGATCCTCTGTATATTAGGCCAAATAAAATAATTAGTGTGTTTCCTGTTGCGCGACCAACCCTAATTTTCTTGCCGGTTTTTACCAACCCTAATATTTTTTCTTTCCCAAATGCACCACAGGGTTCCCAGTAAGCTTATTTCCACTGTTGTATTAGTTTTTTTTAAATCCGACCTATTTTTCTCATGCAACAGGAAACACACTTATTTTTTGTTAGAGTTTGTTGGGTCTCTTCCTTGATTTGAGACTTTTTCTCAGGGTTCTCCTCTTTTCCTCCCACTGTATATGATATTGATATCATATATGATATCATCTAATTCTCTGATAATTTTTTTTTCTTCTAGGAACCATAGGTCAACAAGAACCATCTGAAACACAATTGAAATTCAATAAATTTGAGGAAAAGAAAAAATTTAAAACTGAATCAAAAAAGTAAGTCCATTAGAATCCCTGGTATATTAATGACTGCTCTAATAATTTGCCATGTGCAAAAACACCTTATACTTGTAGCCAGGTATCAGGAAAAATCACAAAATCAGCTACAACAGTGCAGAATTATAACTGGTATTTTATGGTATCATATAATTTGATATTCATGGTTGCTGTGTTTGTAGAGAGAGTGTAAAGAAATTGTTCAAGAAAAAGGCGTCTCAAGCAGAAAGTTCATCCAGACCTCAAGCTAGTTCTTCTGGTAATAGTTTATTGTTGTTYATCATTTGCTAAATTGTATCTAAACATAAAACATTTCCATACTTCATAAATAAAGGGAAGTTAGACAGTCTGTGGAAGGTTTATTGTGTAGGTCAAGAAAATATCCATTCCTCCGGCCACTATATAAGGGAGGGTCTAAGGGAGGGTCTAAGGGAGGGTCTAAGGGAGTGTCTATGGGAGTATTTTGGTGGAAGTATGTTGTGTAGTTCCAATACCTCCACCATAAAGGGGGAATAGACATTTACAAGGAGAGTTTCCAATTGGGGTATATTGTGTAGTTCCAGAAAATACCCATATCTCCACCATAGAGGGAGATTAGACTTTTCAAGGAGAGTGTCTAAGGAGTATCTAAGGTAGTGTCTAAGGAGTGTCTAAGGTAGTGGACTTAGTAGACTTTCTTAGGGGTTTCAAGGTTTTTTATCATGTTGATTTTTTTTTTCTTTAATCACTTATAGCAACAAGTGGTAAAGTTCATTCAGACTTCAAAGAATTCCTAAAGACCCTAAAGCGACCAGCCGCACAAGATGTCAATGATCAGTGTAAATCGTAAGTTATTATACATGACGGGGGGGGGGGGGGGGTCCGACGGAGCTTCATATTGCAACCCAAAAAAAATACTCAAACCTGAAATTTTACACCCAAAAAAATACATGGCATCAGTATGTTTCTTTACGGAACTCACTCATGCCTTGCTGGAAAAAAAATCAAACAAATAATTTTCTGATACAAAAATCAAACTCAGAGATGTGACAACCCAAAAAAATACAGGTTTCATTTCGAGACCTAAAAAAATACGTGGCTGGTCTCTTGACCCAAAAAAATACCGGGAAAGAAAATTGTCAACCCAAAAAATACGTTGGACCTCCCCATCATGTTACCCACCYGAGTACACCCCCTGGGTTCGCTTAAAACTAGATTCAAAACATGCATGCAACTCTAATGGCTTTACACTGAAGGTCTGAGTTCCGACCAAGATATCTGTACAATTTCTCTTAGAAAATTAAGCCAGAGTCAACTAATCAAATGCAACTTTCACATTTTACTGAAAAAAATGTCCATACTGGCCCTCATGAGAAGGAGATTTAAATTTCTGAGGGGTGGGAAGGGTCTGAGGAGTGTACGCACACTATTTTATAAAATCTAAAGCATTATGTACTTTTTTATATATATTTTTTTACAGGTTTGTACAGAGATTATATAACAATCCTTCTCTGTCAGTTGAAGAACAAAGTGAAATGGTCCAAGACTTTTATGCAGTAGGTGTCGTTATTCTATTCATAGAGCTCCCTATATATTTGATAATATTATTGGGAAGCATAGGGATTAATGCCTTGCTAATGCATAACCTCTCACCAATGCAACCCGGGTTCTAAGTGAGTAGAGTTGTTTTTTGTGAATCTATCTTGTGTTTTTCTCTGGGTTCTCCAGTTTTTTCTCCCTCCACAAAAATCAACTTCTAAATTCCAATCTGGTTGGGGGTGTTAAGTATTGACAGGCAGTGTATGACGTCACAACTGTTGTGGCATTTAGCACAAGACATGCTGAGCAATAAAGAGTGGCTGAGCAGTTGAGATCTCATCTAGCAAATGAGAGGTCAGTGGTTCGAGTCCTGCAAGAACCCAACTGAGGCAGATTTTTTAATCTRCTTATACACTCAATGCAGCATACACTTAACACATAGATCTTTACCGAGTGACAAAAACAAGTTGTTGCTTTACTCGTTTGTGAGAACCCATATTATTGTCTTCAATACATGACAGGGAGTATTTGGCCCTTTTATTTTTTATTTATACACTGTATAACTTTTGTAATCTCATCCTCTCTCGATGTACTATTCACCATTCATTTTTAATAACCTATTTATTTTGTTAAATGTCATTGCAGGCCATGGCTGATCGACTTGAGTCACACGTTGCRTTCAAAGTTCAATCACAAGATGCATTAGACACCACTCTCAGTGGCATAGAGAAATATATCATGACAAAACTCTACACAATGTAAGCAGAATTCACGTAGTATGAATGGTTTAAAATAACGGCTCAAGACAATGTTCGGCTAGAACTGGAACTTGTGCAGTTGACTTTTTGCCTTGCCAGTCATTATAATAATTCAACCAGTAAAGTTTACTCAGAAATAAGGTTTGACTAAGCTAAAACTAATTTGGCCTGTGATCATGACTGGTGACTGATTAGCCGTTATTTTAAGCCCTGGGTATATGAGGATTTTATATAATAACATGGAAAGAGACCAAGTTGAAAGAGTAATGGGTTTTTTCTAAGATAATTTGCATTCTGACATTCTTCTTCAAATCCCACTCTATCTCGGAAAAGGTCTATGAGATGCAGAGTCCAGGAATCAAACCTGAGATATTGCCTGGTTTCAAGCTGATTGAGGCTGGAACCTAGCTTTTGTTTTTCCAGGCAGAAGTCAAAAGATGCTTGACAATAGCAATACCATAAATATGCATCAAATTTACTATTTCAGAAAAGTTCTGTGAGGCCAAGTCCAGGAATAAATCCTGAGGCCTCAAATGTGAGAGACAAATGTACTAATTCATGATAGTTTTGGTTCATCAGCTTTTTAATTATGAATAAGGTGGAAAACTAGTGAAAACTAGTGTAAACTGCGTCGAGGTGTTTTCAGTAAAACAGTTGATAGATAGATAATTTGTAACACCGTATGGTATGTAAAAATGAAACTGACGTTTCGGACGTTAGTCCTTCATCAGAGTAAAAACTCCGATGAAGGACTAATGTCCGAAACGTCAGTTTCATTTTTACATACCATAYGGTGTTACAAATTATCTATCTATCAACTTTTTAATTATGAATTGAGCCAAGCTTTCGAGCATCTTGCTCTTCATCAGGGCAAACGGTTGTGACAATTTTCACAAGAAACACGCAACATAACAATGTGTGTGTGCTACAGTTAAATGTATCAGTTGCTAGGAGCGCGCGTGTTACAAAGGGATCATTAATTGTGTGCACTATTTTTTTTTCTATCATGAATCTAAACTCAGCTTACAAACACTTATTGGAAATGTACTAATGTTAGCTACACTGCCATTCCATGACATTTTTTGGGTGTTATTTAAACTTTAGTGTGTTTTGTCCTCCTTCAACTGATGACGAAAAAARAGACTTGGAATTACAAAAGAAAATCCGTAGCTTCAACTGGATTAAACCCCAACATCTTGATGCTGCAATCGATGAGACAAGTGAAGAAGTTGTGAAACTTTTAGAAGACGCACAACATGACCTTGCAGAGATCAACACAAGAAAAGCACCACAAGATAAACTCAATTGCATTGTTCGCTGCTGCAAGAAAATATTTAGTATCCTTTAACACTGGAACTTTAAATTTAGATGGAATTTATAGAATTTGAATGTCCAGTGCTTGCCTTCAAGGTTCCCTGTCTCCATGATACATCCCTGATTCCCATGGGGGTCCCCTGAGACATCCTTTAGCAGTCCCCTGTCCCTGGCTTACCCTCTAAACTACTAGTGTCTCTCCCACCCCCCATGTTCCCTGGGGATCCCCTGAGACATCCTTTAGCAGTCCCCTGTCCCTTGCTTACCCTCGAAACTACTAGTGTCTCTTCCATTCCCGATTCCCCTGTTAATGTTAAAGGATAACTTAGAAGATCCCGAGACTGCAACACAGGGACGGCAAACACCATATACCATATTTCTTTTTTTTTCATGACATTTTTATGGGCATTTCTTTTTTTATTTTAAATTTTTGTGTCTTAACTTTCCCAAGAAATCATTCATCTCTCCACCCCAAGTGGAGGTGCAGTTAGCGCTGACGACTTTCTTCCTTGCTTGATTTACATTGTTTTAAATTCCAACCCTACGATACTACACTCTAACATTCAGTAAGTATTTCTTTTTCAAAAATGTAACAGCAACTATTGCTTGGAATTGTTTTTATTAGTTATATTAGTCAATCATTGATTCTGGGATACTGTCTGAGAAAAGAAATATGAAAAGGAGACAAGGTATTAAGAGACAAGACGGGAGGAGGGGAGACGAGAGGAGGGGAGATGGGAGGAGGGGAGACGAGGGGAGGGAAGATGAGAGGAGGGTGGACGAGAGGAGTTGAGAGAAGGCCTGACAATACGAGACCAGGTGAAACAAGATGAGATGAGATAAGGAGAGTTGAGAGGAGAGAAGAGGAAAAGGAAGGGGAGAGGAGGGGAGGGGAGAGGAGACAAGACGAGAGAGGATGAGGGAAGGGAAGAGGTGCCTCTCTTCTCTCTCTCTCCCTTCCCTCCTCTTGCCTCTCAATTTCTTACAGTAGTTTCTGACCACATCCTCTTTTTTCCCCAGGTATATTTCTAGGTTCTGTAATCCAAATAAACTGATGAAAGGGGAAGCAGGATATTATTTCACAAATCTGGTAACTGTTCTATATTACCTAAAAGGGAAAAAATGAGACAGTGATTTATTTTTTTCTGGAAATTGTCTAGCTGTTGTTTATAGATCATATTGAAATTTGAATCTTTTTTTACTGTTATCCTCTTTCAGTGCTGTGTTGTTTCATTTATTGATAAACTTGATGCTCAAGCTCTCTCCATGACTCAAAGCGATTTTAACAGGTGATTTTCATCTTCATATTCTCCCGGGTTATTTTGTCATGTGTCCATGACAATTTATCCATTGTGAATTTCAGGTATATGTACGGAGATGAGAGAGGGCCTGGTAATGAGGAAGAAGATTCTACAGACAAGGCTGAGCCAGAGCCCCAGGTCTCCTGCAAGGGACTGGACCTCATGAAGGTTGGTACATTGTATTTGCAGCCATACAAAACTGATGGTGAAAGAATAGAACAAATTACATGGATGAATTAAATTTAGGTTAAATTTTACCATCAAAGGAAAATTGTAATAACCAGTGTACAATTACTGCCGTTTGCATTACTACGCGGCCAACCCAGACATAAATCTGGCCATGGAGATTGCAATAGATTACCCTCAATCAAACATGTCGCTGCCATTTTCAGTTTAGATGGATGATTGTGGCTTTTYGATCTGTTTTTCCCAGTTAAATATCTTAAAGGCAGTCCTGAAAGTGATTGAAATGAGTTTGAGTGCATCCTAAAAGAATATTGTGTTTGATTGACAGCAGTCTATTGCAAACTTCACGTCACAGTTTTTGTCTGGGGTGCCTGCATAGTAATGCGAGCAGCAGTAAAAAAAACGTTTATGAATGAGTCATCAATCTTTTAAATACTTCCAGCTGAACTGAGAAAAAAGCTAGCCAATCAAAATCAAGAAACTTTGCAAAACTGTGTCAATTTTTTTCTTGAAATTAAGGATTTACAGGCCAACAAATGAAAACAATATGTTACTAATAAGGGCTTCACAGTGACACATTATAATTAATTAGTTTTATCTTTTTATTGCAATGGCAGGCATGATTTTATTTTTTGCTGGCCACTTTTGTCAAGCTCCGTGACACCTCAGTTTTGCAGTGTTGTCATTTTTGCTCACTTTTTCAGATCAGCTGATTATTCGAAAATAGATAGATGAATGAATGAATGAAAAAACAAGAGGGAATGAAATAGATGATGGATGGGATAAAATTACAACCCTGGATTTTTTTTGGCTTCATATTTTTCTTTCCTGCTTTTTCTAGGAAAATCTGGAGTTACTAGCAACACTGCGTGAACGACAGTTAAAGTTAAAACGAGATGCTCTAGAACTGCAAGGACAGATGACCCAGTTCAGAGTGAACATAGTCAAAGAGGTAAGTTAAAGACAAGACTATCTAACATCTCTCACTTGTTGCTTTCCTCTTACTGCTGCTTTTTCTCCTTCTCCTTCTCCTTCTCCTTCTCCTCCTCCTCCTCCATATTGAAATTCCTCTCCCCTCATTTACTTCTTTATCAAAACAATTCTTTTACTCAAACTAAGTTTTGTTTTGATTTCCTTGAGGTGGACGCCATCTTGGCTGGTACAAGTCATGGGAATAAATTCCTCAAATCAGGATCTTTCACAGCTACAGACACCGTCGATGGATCATCTACTACAAGCCACACCCAAACACAGTCTTCTTCGACAGGCACACCAAGCACTGCACAGGCAATGACATAACACTCAATAAATATTATCATATTATTAGTTCCTTTTATATGCCATTAGTATGATCTTGCATACAAATACAAATACTGAATTTAAAATTAGTTTAATAAATTAATAATTCATAAATCTAAAGAAAAATACCAGGTTTTTAAATCATTTGTTTATTGACACCTCCTTTGGTACAGCATTCCTCTTGAATTCTCTGACATAATTGATTTTGACTGGCTACAAAATATATGACTGAGTGGGTGGGGTGGGGGTGGGGTGGGGTGTGGGTGGGGTAAAGGTTTGTGTAAGCTGAGGGGAGAGGGGTAGGTCAATGTTATTAGGAGTATAACATAAAAAGTTCATTTAGATTATGAAGTGGGGTGGGGGGAAAGCATGTGCATTTCAAAGGGAGAGGGGTAAGTCACAATGCTTCAAAAGATCCATTTAGATTGTAAAGTGGGGTGGGGATAGGCATTTGCATACTGGGGGTAGAGGGGTAGGTGACTTTTTTTATAGATATATTAAGTTACAAAATTTACTAGAAAACTTTCAAGTGGGGAGGGGAGGGGAAAACATTGGAGGAAAGAGCAGTGAAGGAGAGAAGAATTACAAACGATTTTGGAAAACAATTGCAAAGTCATTTAATGGAAGGAAACGGGTCTTTCATGCAAGGAGAGGGTCAGGTGGCGAAAGAATCAAGTATTTATAAGGGKTTATTATGATTCTATCTACCATTGTAAAAGGCCGTAGAGGGTACTTCACAATAAAGCAAGAAGTTTCAAGAATTCAAATAGAACTCCAACTTTATTTAAGCGCTAGAAAAATTTAGATATATTGAAAAAAGTTTATGAAGAATATTTGACGTTCTTACCTCAGTTTCACGTATATTGGGTCGAACCGCAAGCCGTAAATCATCGTTAACTAGTGATCACTAGTATTCAATGTTAGACTAATAATCCCAACCAATGTTTTGCCTTTTCTAGTTAACTAAACTAATTACACAAATTTTCCTATATTTTGTTTGGAAAACAAAATTAAAATAGTAGTATTGTTATTAAATAGCCAAGAGAAAATGAAATACTGTTCAAAAACCCACGCACATAAGAAACCCAGGGGGAACACTTTACTAGTTCAGATAGTAAAAAACAAGGGAAGAGGACAAAATAAAGCGCCGGGAATCAATTCTAGAAACTGCTGATGAAGCACTAAATAAAGTGGATCTCATCTAACATTTATGAAATTCTATTCTTTAACGATTATTCTTTTGAGTCGAGTTTTTTCATTATTCGTGAAGGGCTTTCCTCCTATGAAATGAAATTTCTGCGTTGTTATATGTTGCCTTGATYGTACTTGAAGTAACTTTTTTCGTGCATTTTTCGAGCTGGGAAGTATTAAATGACTAAATGAGAGTGCTGGAATTTATAATACTGAGAGAGGAAACCCCTTGAAGCACAGGACTTTGATAACCCATTTGATGCGAATTWAGACCATCGATATTAAATGAAATTTGCAGATTTTTATCAAGATATTCTTCATCGGCTGATCAGAAATTTTCATGATGGAATTTTTGTACTTTTCCTAATATTTGTGACGTATAGCGCATACGTACTAGCTAAATTATGGGATAAAGCTCCGTTAATTTATGCATCCTTTTGGCGGGAACTTCGAAAGGACGTTCAAAGTGTGTGAAGTTGGGGAATCATCATTACCTCTCTCACGGATTTAACACATGCAAAAAGGTAAACTATCTTTAATGGAGCACATTTATGGCGTGTTTTATCAACTGTTTAGACGCTCTTAACTACACAAAGTGTCTAAATGTCTAGAAGTTTGGCGAACGTGACTGGCTTAACAGTTACGTGACACTTTGAATTTCAAATTTGTCGCCATGAAAAATTAAACCTTGAGCTCATTTCCGAACTATTTTGCTTAGRAACACTATTATTGAGAAGTCTCCTCTTTTAGAATAGCAAATTCTAACTTGGAAATGGGAGATTTGGTTGCTAGGGAGAACGCCACGTGCGTTTTTTTTATAGAGATCAGAAGACAAAATGCTCGTTCRATTGTGAAATAGGTCGGATAGAATGACAGTTTGTCATTTGTTTTATCGCGTGATCTTAGTCTTTTGTGTAAAAAACACGCGCCGTTAGTAATTTTTCATTCTCTTAGCGAAAGGTAATGGAGAAAATCCATTTTGTAGAACGTTTACCGCTTTGAAACAAAACCTTTCAAGAAAAGCGTTGTTGTAATCGCATAAATGCTCCAGGAAACCGTGAACGTGTAAATGGTTTCCGGGCGTCAATCACAGCTAAAGTACCATATGATTGGTTTACATAACAATACATATTGTTTTTGGAGTGATCTGATTGGTTGATGGTGATGTGGTGCAGGTGGTATTGATTGGTTAGACGTGAAATGACATGCAAATGGCGTCAGCTGGTTCCTGAAGTCGTGCAGAACTGCTCGAGTCAGAAAAAATCCTCCATTTTGAACCCAAAAAACTCATGTTCTACTTGGAAATTCCTCCCAGCTAACCCAGCCAGAAGTTAGGATATTTATTCAGCAAGGCTGATGCTTTAACGAAAGGATGGCGGCTTTTTCTCAAGCCTCAAAAATCAGTAAAGAAGAAAAGGAGTTTCCTTGTGCTCCTCCGCCGAGCCCTATCACAAGTTCTCGGAGAAATTTTGACCTCTCTGTTTCTCCACTTTCTTCATCTCCTGATGAATCATATAAAGACGATGATATGGATATGAGTGATTCTCTTATTATGGCTTTATCTAGGATGAATGTCGAACAATCTTCTCTAAAAAGGAAGAAGCATTCGGAACATGAATTTTCGTCGTCGGGTTACAAGGGAGAAGTATTCGTTCAAGGACAGAAGAAGGCCAAATGTAAAAAGAAGCACGCACAGAGTTCGACCATCACTTCTCAATCTCATCTCGAAAAACTCGTATCTGTGGACCCTGTGAAAAGCTCTATATCCGTGCCAAGCACGTAAAATAATGGTTCTTGTTTTAAAGAATAAATTAGTTGAATTTTACCAATTTTACAGAGTACAAGTATCAAGTTGCTCGAATCGAAAACCTCGAACAAGTAAAAAAAAATTTTTTTTTTCAAGCTTCCATTGTCGTGTCATCTTGGAGCTTCAAGTCACGAACGAAGAAACTCAAATTTATGAACAAAGTTAAATAACACATTTCTAGAATTTTAGAGAAAACTATATGTTTAATACAGAAAAAATCAAATATTTTTCGTCGCTCAAGGCGGCAGAAAATCGCGGATAAAATAACCAATGTCGTGACCTCGTAAAGGCAGGCATTAGATCTTTTTGACATGCATCTAGCTGAACGTTTTAATGGCCTTTCGAAGAAGCTTATTTTATATAGTAAAATCTCCACAAAGATTAAAGAATAAGACTAGTTGAAAGCCAAAATGTTACGGTTGATACGTGTAAAAATCTGGTTCGGGATTTGAAGTAGTTGGAAAGTTGAAAAAATGTAGAAGCGTCAATTGTACGAAGATCGTTATTATAATATTATCGAAATTGAATATCTCTCGGGTCTTAAAGAAAGAAAATGTTGTTATATAATTATATTTATCTATAAAAAAGGGTTGCAAAAATGTCAGTCTTCTTGTGTTTGATTTGATTAGGAAGTTGGTACATTTCGAGATTGAAATCTACGTGGTTGAAATTGACAAAGTTTCTTCACGGGTTTAAATCACGCGACATCACGGTATCTTATCATCAAATTCCACCAGTACGACACTTTTAATACTTGTTCTCTCAGTGAGGTTCCCATTCTTTTAGGATTATTACCTTTCGTTTCAAAGATTCCTTATCAATCTACCGCAGGGGTGTAAAAGATGTCCCAATATTTCAATATTAAAAAACCTGTTATCCTTTTATCCAATTTTAAGGCAATTTACAAAAAAWTTTTTATCGTGTTACCCGTTGTCAAGCTCCTTCGTGATAACCTGAGCACTTAGAATCCTATTGTTTTCATTTTTGCATTTTTTCAATTCCCAGCTTTCTTGATCTAACTTGTTACTACAAGCAGGGCTATTCAAAGACTGAGTTATATTTTTTGTTTCAACAGAACTTCAGCAAATTGTTTAATATTCTTTTTTCCCTTTAAAGTATTAAAAAGCTAGAAAATTTTATCAAGTCATTTACGATAATTTCTTATTTTTATTTTGAATGGGTTCATAATGTTGAAAAGTGCAAATCAACGACTATTTGTGTATTTTTATCTTGTCTGCCCTTTTTCTCATTGACCTTGTCAGTCAGAACTTAGCAGGTTATTGGGAAACACGTTTTTAAATCTTACCTTATTCACCTTTTTGAGCACTAGCCTCGCACTAGCCCAAAATATGTTACAGTCACCAAAAAGTTCGGACATTGCTAATGATTAATTCCCATACAAATTCACGGAATTTAAATAGAAAATCGAGATCTTTAGTTACTTTTCTAAATAGCAGTAAGAAAAGCTTCAATCAAGTTAGAGAAATGATATTTTGCTTCTATTTAGAGAGCTATTTAAACAAACGGATTGAATAATATTTGTTTAAAAGTCAGTACATTCCTGTGGGAATCAAAGAACAATGTCTGGACATCTTGGTGACTGTGACATCATCCAACATATTTTATAACGTGATGGCTAGCACTCRAGAGGCAAATTGTATGTCCTTGAAAAAAGTAGCTACAGTGGAACCTCTATAATACAAACATCAAAGGGACAAAATGAGTGTGTAAAATATTAGTGTGAAGGGAAATATCATTTTAACATATTATGCATCATCATGTTAAGGAAGACTTTATTAAGGATCAATCTACATGGTCTCTTTGTCTCTGCCATTGACTTGCCTACTCGATTCATAGATCTTCTACTACACAGAATGCAACAGGTCATTCAAACCAGGTTGGGGAAGCACCGGTGGCGTGCGCTGCTAATGCGCTGCCTCTCACCAATGCGGCCCGAGTTYGAGTCCTGCCGATCTCGATGTCACATGTGAGTAGAGTTGTTTGTTGGTTCTCTCCTGTGCTTCGAGGGTTTTTCTCCAGGTTCTCCAGTTTTCCTCCCTCCTCAAAAATCAACTCCTAAATTCTAATTCCATCTTTGAGCTTTCACCTAGTTTGGAGCCTAGGTCTGTTGTGTTTGTCCCATGCTGTGATACAACAGCGAAAAGCTTTGTAGATATTTGAAGGAGAATGAGTTTTTGATAGATAATTCTTGATAATTCAGTAAATTCTTGGGCAACTACACATTGATTTTAATCCTGCTATTTGCTTTGCCACATAGAATAATGCAACTAGGGTTGCTCAAAACCTCTGTATATGTCTAAAGGTAAAAATCTTTTTCTGAGAACATCAGTATACAGTTTTGTCTGTTTGAGCTGCAGCACTATTTTGGTAGCTGGATACCTTTATGTCTCTGCATTGTACTTTGCACCTTTGAGCTGACACACATTCATTAACTCTCAGTGGGACATCCTTAGAGCTTCCTAATCTTGATAGTGCTCAAGCTTGAATATTTCAATATTTTAAAGCTCAAATAAACACAAATTTTGGAAGAAAAATGATAAGCAAGTTTGGACAAAATTGTCACGAAAATGAGACAACTCTATAAAATAATTCTTGTCCATGTGGAAAAGAGTAAAAAGATTTGAATAAATATCCTTATTTGGAAATCAGTAAGAAAATCTCTTTGTTTAAGTGTCTAGTGGAGTTGAAGTTATTGGGAATAATTCCAAATCTTGTAAATTTCAAAACATTAATGGAAAACAATTTACTTCTATAAATATTGAATTTCCTGCTGAGAGTTGAGAGGACAAGGAAAAATATTGAAACATTTTTAAAGTAGTGAAGGTAGATGCCTGTTCAATAAATTCCACAATGTTTTATTTTCCATGCTTGACATAAAATTTTGTTCTTTCCACTTTCATCTACAAAACTAATATCAACTAATAAATTTGACAACAAAAGAGAATAACACGGTTTGAAATGGGAAAACAGTAGACCCAACCTAAAAAGGTTTAGTGTAAAATCTAGGCCCGGGGGGGGGGGGGGGGGCCCCCGCCAGAATTGGGGTAGGGGTGTTCCACTGGGATTCTGAAAGGGGTACCCTGTTTATGACAAAAAAACCCAAATTTGTAGACCCTGTTCATGACAAAAGATATAATTAATTGCACTGAGTTCCTGTTTCAAWTWWYMATGTCATCTCGCATATCGTTTTTTTACGACCATAATAACCAGTTTCGGTCAATACGAAAGTAGAAACCCTGAATATGACAGGAAACTCAGAAAGAACTTGGAACTTGAGTGAAATTGCATACCCTGTTTATGACAAGAAGCTCGAAAAACCATACCCTGTTCAGGGGAACATCCCCGTATAGTCCATATGTGGGAGTACCCCCCCCCCCCCGGGAATCTAGGAAAGCCCCTTAATTGTCAAGAAACAATCAACAGTGGGCAAATGTAGTAAATGGATCAGAACTCCTTTGCAATAGGTAGGTGGGGAGGTTYAGTACATACAGTCAATTCAAAAAATGTTGTCGTCGACCAGCTCAAGCCTACGCGACTGGACCRAAAGGAACTCTGGGTAGCAATCATTGAAGCCGAGTTGACTCCATAATTTTATCTGACTAGTTATGCCTGGTTTACAGCACGAACCTTCTTAGGCGAGCGGGAAGTGTTGAAGGAGACTTTTTTTAATGCCTTCATATTTTCGAAATTGTGAACTGAATCATAACTACTTTGTTTTCCTTTCCCTAAACCCAAAGACATGCATTTGATGGATTGTTTCTGGCCATTATTATCTTATTACTAGCGGGAACAATTAATTCAGAACRAATATTTAACCGCTTCAGTGGTTTTTACCCATATTCCTTTCGGTCCAGTCGCGTAGGCTTGAGCCGGTCGATGACAACGTTTTTTGAATTGACTGTACATACTCTAGCTGAGCATTGATTGAAATTTCCAAGGTTGAGGATGTTTTTATGCTTATAGAACCACAAGGTATTCTTTGGCCATAGTGAGACCTATGGAATCTTTAAGCAGTAGGGAGCACCAGCTRGTACTACCCTGTTGGGCAAATCCCATGTGAGGAGGGGTATGGTTCTAGATCAGTCTTGAGAGAGAGATACTTGGGAGAGAGATACTTAGAATATTTAATCTGTCTGCACATCTTAAGTAACCAACCAAGGCATACTGCGTGCTGATGCGTGCAGTACTACTACTTTGTGTGCTGTACTCTTAGCTATATATAGATTCTTTTTCTTTKTTAAACTTCCAAGTTTTCCCATTAAAGTCAGACCACATGTCATTCTCTTGAGAATAATATTTCTTTATTAAATCATTTTGCACAAGTTTTGATCTGACTTGAGCAAATAGTATCATACTCAAGAGAATGACATAGATCTGAAATGGGTTTAAAACATACACCAATTAAAAAATTTGTGCTCAAGGGGTAAATGTTTGTGTTAGGTGAAATGAAGTATCCAGTACATCAATTTGCACTTCTGAGGTTGAGATAAAAACTGGGCCAAGCTGGCATTGCAGTGTGGGACTGTTTTAGGGGACRAAATAGATGCAGTCTTGGAAATATGTCCCTAAAAAAGTCCAATGATGCAGTGCACAATGCCAACTTAGCCCAGTTTTTCCCTGAACTTTAGAATGGCTATTGGTGACCTTTGGGTTGGCATTGATACATCTAATTAACATACTCCCCATGTACCATTTTGGTCTCGTCTTCTATGTTATATGTTTAAACCACCCGACAGAGTGTATAACCCAAATAACATCAAGAAAAACAATGCAATTTTTTTCTCAGTTTTTATTGACCCCACAGGCTTCTTATCTATATTATCTATCTATATTATATAACATACACGAATATACACTTATTTCAATAAAGTTAGTCACCAAAAACCTAGAAAGCTGAGATCACTGAGCATCATGGGAAACTTTTCATATCAAAAAAGCATATATATACAAAGCTTTTTAATACAAACTGCAGCTCGATGATGCTCAGAAGAGGTGAGACTGTAACCGGTAAAAGATTCACAAGTCCATGAACAGTTATCAAGCGGTTGAACTTGTAAAATGAATTTACCCATAATCCTTGTCAGCCTCAGCTTTATAGCTTTTCAGGTGACTAACTTTATTGAAATAAGTGTATTTAATCTGACTTTGAGAAATAGACCTCCTTGACTCTGGCATAATGGTTTCTCATTTCAGACCATGACCTTCCCATGACAATAAGATTCTTTGTTTGAGTTGTCTCCATATACATGTAGATCTCATATGCAACCAGTAAACAAAAAAATAATACTGTAGGGAATGACTGGTGGTCATAAAATGGGAAAACATTATGCC